CCGCCGGGGGACAGACACCCAGCAGGTAACCCCGGCCTGGCTCGCCCTCCCCTCTCGGATTTTCCTTCACACCCTCTGGGATGACCCCTTTCCCCGGTTCCGTCTCCCCGTTTTCCCCTGGCCTTGCCTCTTTTCTTTGGCTCTCCTTGTTCCATCTCCCCCACTTGGGCTTGTCGCCCGCTGGCTGCGCCGCCTTCTCGTGCAGCCTGACTCCCTTCCCTTCGCCCGACAGCCTATGCGCCCTAGGTCTGCCCACGGCACCTTTCGGGGCTCTGTCTCGCAGCTTCTCTGGGCTCTCCTTTCCTTCCGACCTTGTCCCCTGGGGCTCTAAGGAAGGAGGGAGTCCCTGTCCTTTTCTCCCTCCCCCTGTTCTCCGCCTGCCCCCCCCCCACTTTGGCCCCTTTTCTCCTTCTTAGCAGTCTCTAGGGGTGGAGAAAACCGGAATTTGGGGGGCCCTCTGGAGGGGCAGGGGGCTGTGTGTATGCTGTGTGTTGGGTGGGGGTGGGGATGGTTAGAGACCTGGGTCCCTCTCTGTTGTCCCTTTAAATGGCCCTCACATTTCTGGGGACTCATGGGGGGGAGGTGGCAAACTGCCTGCCTGGGGGGGCAGGGCCCTCAGTTCCTCCACACAATCAGGGGTGGTAATGATTTAAAGGGACAGCATCAGTGTGGCCGCTGCCACCCTGAACCCAGCGGGAGGAGGAGTAGGCAAGCCATGTCTGGGAAGGCTTGGCTGGTGAGCAGGGCATTTGAGGCTGAGTCTGTTGCAGGGCCTGCCAGGTCTTGGATGGTGTTGTGGCTGGGAATGTGCAAGGAGGGGTGACAGCTTGCCTAAGGGGTACTCAGCCTGGGCTTTCTCCAGGGCCCCACCTCTGTTCATGACTCCTTCACCAAGAATCCTTGAGCCCAAACTACCTTTTGGCTACCAGGTGGGGTCCACCAGCACCTTTGTAGGTCAGCAGTCTGACCTGGACACATTGGAGCTGGCCTTTCAGCTTCCCCTTTTGTTGTTTGACTATGCACTAGAAAGCCCCAGCTCCTCCCCCAGCTCCCCCTTCCCATCCATATGCACCCCCCCCACACACACACACACATACACACACCCACCCCAGCTGTTGGACAGATGAATTACAGCCTCAGGCTTGGGGCCAGGGCTGTGAGGGATTAAAGCTCTGGGACTGGCCCTTTAAATGGTGGTTGGTCCTTTAAATGTTTGTTGGCCCTTCCCCCACTTTGGTGTCCAGACACCCCTACACACTGTCTGCCCCTCACTTCTCTCTATCTGTCCTAAGACCTACCACTGCCCTCTCTCCAGGCTTCCCAGTGTCTTTTTGGCCCCCCACCCCCACCCTACCACCTGCAACAAGACCACATACACAAATGTTACAGACTACACACACTCACCCTCCCTGCCCCCACATTTCTTAGTGTTTCAGTCGTGGAGAATTCTAACTTCAAGCTCCCTTCTCCAGCAAAAGAAGCTTGCCTGCCTAACTCAAAGCTGACCACTGCTCTGGCTCAGTGAGGGGCCTTGTATGGGTCAGAAATAGCACCTCCCTGGGGGCAGTGTCATCAGCAGCAGAGACAGCTTGCAGCACATTGCATCATGGAGGCTGGGGGCTGGAGGCCTGAGTCTCTGGGGCTGGGGGAAGGATGGAGGCTGGAAGGCTAGGGAATGGAGAGACCAGACTGGAAGTCTAAATGTCTAGACCCTTAGGGCAGGGAACTGTTGGCTAAAGAAGCAGAAAACACAGGTCTCAGAGGAGTGAGTTTGAGGTGAGGGTACACTTAGGTCTGACCCCTTGATGGACATCTGATTACTGGCCATGGACTTAGGTTAAAAGACCTGGCTTTTGTCTCTGAGAGTTAGAAGGGGAGGGAGTGGGCCTCTATCACCTTCTTGAGCCACACTGAGGAAGGAGGTGATGGGGAAACAGGATATAGCCTTGTGGGGTGGGATGGAAAGGAGGCTTGCTGCAGAGGCCACTTCTAGACCCAGGCCCAGAGTCACACTTCTTGCTGGAGAGTGAGGCTCCTCCCAGCAGGGCCCGTTCATCTAGTCTGGCCACCTGTGCTACTCGCGAAGACCTGCCTGCACCCGCCTGGGGGAAGGGGAGGGGGCAGAGTCCAGAGGGTGGGGTTGAACTGGTGTCTTGATAAGGTTAGGGAGGAGACAGCTAAAGGAAGAGGATCTATTTGCCTAGGGTCAGGGTTGAGGCTGAGTTAGGTACAGATATATGGGGCAGCTGGAGCTATTCTGAGACTAGGGACTCTCAGAGGAGGGTCCAGTCAGAAGAGGGATCCTGGATTGGGTGTCCGCTGTGGATTTATGCAAATGCCATAGGGAGCTCTTCTCACCCCTCTGGTCCAGGCTGCTTCCTTAAAGAGGAATGCTGGGGACTGCTCTGGAGATGGCTTTTTCTGGTTGTCATGGAAACAGACTCTCCCAACTCTTCTGACCACCAGAACCAGGTTTCTTAATAAGGGAGATGGGAGCTAGGGAAAATTGTCTAGCCTGGAGACCCCATCTCTGACTTACTTTTTTCTTTTAGGTTCCCCCAGGCACCATGTCTGTTCCATAGTACCACCCACCCCACCCATCGTGGTCTGCTGCACCCCACTGCTGGGGCACTGGTTCCAATGAAACAGGGCACACCAAATTCCATCTGGTAAGTCTTGCTTCTGAGCAAACCCTTCTACTCCTAGTGGATTTTGCAATATATACCTGAAGGAGAGTGGTATGATCTAGATCATGCCCACTCCTCAGAATGGGCCAGTCCAACTCTGAGCATCCCCCCACCATGTGGTGCTTGGATGGTTCCTTCTTCCTAGTTTATGGAGCTCCCCTCTGTCACCTGTGAATGGTTCAGTCCTGTACTACTTCTGGTTGGCTCTACTACCATCAAAAAATCTTCACCCCTTAGTGCTGCAACTTTGTTGTGTGTTGATGAAGCTAGGGTTCGCAAGCTGGATTGTAGAGGTGAGATACCCTGGCAGGGATTTTTCATGAGAGGGGGAGCATTTTGCCCCTCTAAGAGTTGCTGAACAAAGTTATTGGAAATTGATTTAGGGAGACACTGGAGATCATACTCACCTGCTGTTGCCATGGCATTCTTGCCTTATCTTTCTTTTCAGATCTCTGTCTCTCCTCACTACACTAAGACATTGCCCCCCCCTCATCTAACTCATCTGCTTTCCTCCCTCCTTGTGCCAGTTGTCTGCCCAAAGCCTTGCTCCATCCCCAGTTCCTCTGTTGAGATGATACACCTAAGCCAGGGACTTAAGTTTTCTGACTGTGCCTTCTTCTCCACTACTCACTGAGTCTTCTTGCGTGGGACTGTTTTTTTTTTCCCTATGAATCTGTCACTGGTTGGCAAGTTGGTTTACACGTTGGGGTGCCTCAGTGGAATTGTGTTGAGTGAATGTGTTAACTGAATGGCTTCATTGCCAAGAAACCAATGGATTTTGCGATATGTTGCACAGCCGCCTACCCAAACTTTCTCTAGGGAATATAAGACATTTGGGATGGTAAACTGGGGTAGACTTGAGGGGAATGCTGGCCGACCTAGGGAATACCTATGAGAATAAAATCATTTGAGGGGGAGCAGGACAAAGGCTTTACAGAAGACTGGTAAGAATGAGGCCAGCTTTACCACTCTTGCAGAATGACCGTGGGCAAGTTACCTAACCTCCCTGAGCCTTGATTTCCACATCTGTAAAATGGGGAAATGAAAGTACCTCCTTTCTCAGGTTTTGGGGAGGAGTTTAAAAATGTATATAAAGTGCTAACACAGTGCCTGCATGTCTTCACTAAATGCCAGTAGTTACCTTGTGGTAGCTGCAGGGAGTTGTGAGGATAAGCAAGGATGTTGAGGAATAGGACAAAACTTGATCTGAATGCAGGCAGACCCCAAATACTTGACTCAAACGTAAGGTTTCTTTATCCAGCAAGATGCTAGAATTCAGGGGAGCGAAACAAGGAGTAAGTAGGGTCAGCCTGCTGCATTATTTCCCTGACTTTGTTCAGAAACATGAAGGCAAACACAGAAGGGCATGTGCAGAGACACACGTGATCACACAAGTGATGCAGAGGCAGACCCAGACAAAAGACTGAGATAGGAGCCAGGCAGACACACAGACAGAGACAGCCCCGCAGAGTCCTGCAGACAGGCATAATAACAGGAACGCGTCAGACACAGGCACTGGAGGAGACAAGATGAGCAGATATGCAGGTGCACACGGAGACAGACACCAGGACCCACACACAGCTGACCTTGTCAGACTGACTGGTGAACACAGCGGTCCAGTCAGAAGCCGATACAAGGCTCACAGTGACACATAGCGGGCCAGGGCCGGCACTGTCACTCCTCAGTGGGGGGCGGGGAGGGACCAGCAGCGGGGGAAGGCTGGGGAAGGGAATCCCGAGCGGGCGGCCTGCCCGGGTGGCTGAGTCACAGCGAAGCCCCAGCCGGCGGTCCTCCCCGTCGCCTCCCCCTCCCCCAGGTAAGAAGCGAGCCGGTAACCCCTCGCTTCCACCTGGCAGATTGGGGCCAGGCCTGCTACGGCATGCGGTGGGGTTCCGGGACTCGCCCCACCTCCGCGTGCGTGCGGCGTGCTTGCTCACTGCTCGGTAAAACCCCGTCTGCGGGGTCTCGTCTTCGGCAGTCACGTGAATCTGCGTGCGCCCGCCTAGCCTCTTACTCCGCGTCCCCAGAGGCTGGAGCGGCGCACGGAGGGGCATCTCGGGCCTCAGGCCCGGAGAGAGTTAAGTGGTAGTGATTGATGGAGTGGGTCTCTCTCGGGGATCTAGAGGGAGGGGGCCGGTTAAAGTCCCCGAGTCCAGAGCCCGGATGGAGGGGGCGGTGCTGGGCTTAGCCGGGAGTGCCCGGATGGAGAGGGCGTGGCCTCAGCAGAAGAATTAACCCTTTATGAGCCGATGACTCTTTGGATTGTGGGTCGGGCGGGAGAGGCTGGAATGTCGCCTTAGAAGTGTACTGTTCTCCCAGCCTGGCTTCGGCCGTGTAGCATCTACCTCCCGTCTGTCTTCGAGAAGTCTGTGGGTGTCTGTCTTTGTGCTTGTCCGTTGTCCCCTCCCTTTGGTTGGTACGGACACCGGGAGTCGGGGAGGGCTATTCCTGCCCCAAAGCGAGAGTGGAGGTGAGAGTGGATCGCGACCCGGCTGCCGGCGCCTGGGGGAACAGGTGTGAGCGCCGCTTCGGGGCTGCCGGGGGCGGGAGGGGCCGTCTTGGGGGAAGACGGGAGGGGAAATTCCGCGGGACCGGTGGTGAGCGGTGTGTGGGCTGAGTTGTGTCTGCCTCAGACTGTCTGTGTGTGTTCGGGGAGGCGGGGGCTGAGTCAGTGGGAATAAGGGAAGGTTTTCTGGGTGACTCACGCTCCCCCACCCCAAGACTGAATCAGACCCCGAGGGAGGGCATTGTGCGGGAGGCGGATGGGGAGTCAGGCGTCTGGGCCCCGGGGGGGGGGGTGAGGGGGACAAGGATCCAAGGAGGTTGGCGAGAGTGAGTGTGTGTTTAGTGTACAGGAAGTTTTTGTCCTCGAGTGAAGGCTGCTGTATTCCGAGTACCAGCGCGGGGGGTTGTGGATAAAGGTGGAAAGGGGCTGGAGAGACGGGACTCGCTGGTTTAGGGAAAGCTGAGTCAGTTCCCCGTGGGAAAGGGGAAGTGGCAGAGGGGAAGTGTCATCATCGCCGGAGGGGAAGCTGCATTTCCTGGTAACTGGCAGCGCCCTCGGCACTACTTCCCAAGCGGGATCTGCTCCTAAAGTCGGGCCCCTCGGTTCCCGTTTACCCACGTCTGGTCCACGGGCCCGGGGCTTGAGGGGTGGGGACAGGCAGACTACATTTGATCGCGTTAAGCGCTGTACTTGTCCCAGGACTTGGTAACTACAGAAAGGCTGTCAGATGAGGAGAGAGTTCTGACAGAAACACCGCGTGAACCTCATAGAGGGTCCGCAGAGCCCAAGCATCCACAGGGGCTCTGCTGGGAGTGGCACGCCAGGACCTGTGTTCAAGCGCTTCCTTACACACGGACGACCTTGCCCTGCTGAGCGAGGACCGTTTTCACCTGAAACCCGCCAGCCCTTGTGGGCTGGGTGGAAATTTCCCCACCGCGCAGACTTAACGAAGGCAAACTTTCCAGCCGCCCCCAGCCCCGCGTCGCGTGCTCTCCCCCGGCTTCCTGCCCGGCGCTAGCTCCAGCTGGAGCGCAGGCCCCGCCCCGCCGCTTTGTACTCGACACTCGCCTCTCTCAGCTCTTTGTACTCTACACTCTCAATGGACCGATCCTGGGAGCGGAGCCGGCTCCCTACCTGCGGGGACGCCGGGTAGGCAAGGAGGCGGCGCGGGGACCGAGGTCCTGGGCTCAGGAAGGCGAGAGGGAATAGTCGCGGCTAGAGGGAAGGTGCCTAGGGAGGGGAGCGCTGCACCAGTCGTGGGTCGAGCCAGAACCGAAGTGGGGGGGGGGAGGCGCGAAGGAGGAAGTGAAACGGGTTCTGGGTTCTTTAAGGGAGTAGGCGGTGAGAGTGGGACAAGGGTGATGTCACCGCCAGTCGGGCCCCGCCCTCCTCCCGCCGTAGGACCCCCCCCAGTACACTTACACACGCTGCTTCCGCTGCGCAAGTAGCCACGTCACGGGCAACCCCCGAAATCCCCCCTCCCTTGGGGGGCGGGGGCCACGTGGGCCGTGGGGAACCGCGTGGCCCCAGAAGAGAAGGGCATAGAGGATAAGGGAGCCACGCGAGAGGGGCCACTCGGGACCACGGTGCGCGACTCCTCAGAAGTTTTGGGGATTAAGCGGGGGGTTTGAGTTGGGGGAGGGTCTGTTGATATTGAAGACCTTGAGAACCTGGTGGAGGACCTGAAGGAACTGGTAGGAGGCTGGGGGCTTGGCCAAAGTTTGAGCTGGAGTCAGGCCGGGGGATGGAGCGGCGCAGGCGGTTTTGGGTGTTGTAGTAGTCGCGGTAGCTTGTCAGTCCCAAGCAGTTCCAAGGGATAGTAGGAGCGCGGAGGTCGGGCACTGGGAGGTAGTACGCGAGAAAGGGAAGGGAGGGCTTTGTGTGGGTCGTGCGTCCGTCTAGCGACCGTGGTTCTTAGAGGGGGCAGGGGCCACGGCGGGTAGGTGGGCGTCTGGGGCTTTCTAGCCCGGGACCGCGGGCGGTTCTATGGATTCGTGGGACTTGCGGGAAGCGCCATCCCCAGCGTGCGAGTCGTCGCCCCCACCAGCACGGGTCACGGGCCTAAGTGCCAGATCGGAGTTGGGGACCCTAGGTGGGAGTCGCGGGGGTCACATTGGGGTCATCCGGGGCCGAGCCCGTCTGACCGGCTCCGCCGCCCCTCCTCCCCCGACCCGCAGCGGCAGCTTTAACCTCTCTCCTATTGGTCCCCGCCAGGCTGTTACTGAGGCGGAGACAGGGGTGATGATTGGCTTTCTGGGGAGAGAGGACGTCCTGTGATTGGCCGGGTCTCTGGAGTTCGCTGACGCTGTGAGAAGACGCTCCCACGGAGGCCGGGTGAGCGGCGGTGGCGTTGACTCTCGGGCCCCTGGGCTCCGGACTGGAAGCCTGGCAGCGCAGCCACCCCGTTTGAAACGATTAGCTTCCCCGCCCCCAGTCACTCCTCCGGCTTCTAACCACACTACTAGTATCAAGGGGCTTCTTAGGCCCTCAGGCCTCCTTGTGCAGATAGACCTGTGGGTGCCACTGTCGTGCCTTTCCAGCCCCAGGGCCTGACAGTGTGCTAATCAACTAACCTCGCTGCTTTTCCTCCTCTTCTCTCTAGAATTGGCCGTGAAAGGCCCTGGCTGGCCATCTGGGGGCAGTGGGCACTCCTATCAGAACAATTGGAGCAGGACCATCGTCCCAGAGAACTGGGGCAGGGGGCCTTGCCCGATCTCCAGGGCTCCTGGGGCCACTGCTGACCTGGTAAGGGAAAGATGGACTGGTGGGCTGTAGGCATACTAGTAGCTCAGGCTATTCCCCCAGTAAGATGGTAATCTTTTCTTGATTCAGGCTGGATGCATCGGGCAGTGGACCCTCCAGGGGCCCGCGCTGCACGGGAAGCCTTTGCCCTTGGGGGCTTGAGCTGTGCTGGGGCCTGGAGCTCCTGCCCACCCCATCCCCCTCCTCGTAGCGCATGGCTGCCTGGAGGCAGGTGAGAACGTGCTCTTTCCTCTCTATTTTCTTTGTTTCCAGGCACTGCTGTTCCAACTGTTTGACCTCTCAATTTCGGTGTCATTCTCCATGAATTTTTCCCGTTTTGTGGACTTTCTGTTGGTATAGTCTTCAGCTGCTTTTTTCTCTTACTCTCTTTTTCTCCTCCTTGTAGGTAGGGACAGGACTGCTTTATCTTGCTGTATATTAACATACCCTTTCTTTCTGCAGGTGCTCTGCCAGCATTGGGCAGCCCCCGCTCTCTGCCCCCCTACCCCCTTCACATGGCAGTAGCTCTGGACACCCCAACAAACCATATTATGCTCCAGGGTGAGTGAGTATTCAAAGGTGCTAGGGTGCTGGGCACTTAAGAGAATTTCCCCAAGCCTGACCATCCTCAACCCCTTCTACTCTGTAGGACACCCAACCCAAGACCTCTCCATGGGAAGCTGGAATCCCTGCATGGCTGTGTGCAGGCATTGCTCCGGGAGCCGGCCCAGCCAGGGCTGTGGGAGCAACTTGGGCAGCTGTATGAGTCAGAGCATGACAGTGAGGAGGCCATTCGTTGCTACCACAGTGCCCTTCGATATGGAGGAGGCTTGGCTGAACTAGGGCCCCGCATTGGCCGACTACAGCAGGTAGGCGAGGCAGGCTATGGGCTAGGATTGGGCTTCCTGGCTTTGTAGCCTCCTCTCATGTCTGTTTCTGCTTTGTCCCATGTGTATTTACCCCACCTCCCTAGACCCAGCTCTGGAACTTTCATGCCGGCTCTTGCCAGCACCGAGCCAAGGTCTTGCCCCCTCTGGAACAAGTATGGAACCTGCTGCACCTTGAGGTGAGGATGGACTTGGGTAGGCCATGGAAGAGGGCCTGGCCAGATTTGCACCTGTGCCATTCTTCTCTTTTCGTCTCAGCACAAGCGGAATTATGGGGCCAAACGGGGTGGTCCCCCAGTGAAGCGAGCTGCCGAACCCCCAGTGGTACAGCCTGTACCTCCTGCAGCACTCTCAGGTCCCTCAGGGGAGGAGGGCCTCAGTCCTGGAGGCAAGCGCAGAAGAGGCTGCAGCTCTGAGCAGGTATGGTTGTGTGGGCAGACAGTGAGTGGGCAGATCTGGGATACGGAGTGGGATTCTCAACACCCCTTTTTCTTCTAGACTGGACTTCCCCCAGTGCTGCCACTGCCTCCACCACCATTGCCGCCGCCGCCGCCGCCGCCACCGCCACCACCGCCACCACCCCTTCCTGGGCTAGCCACAAGTCCTCCATTTCAGCTGACCAAGCCAGGGCTGTGGAATACCCTGCATGGAGATGCCTGGGGCCCTGAGCGCAAGGGTTCAGTGCCCCCAGAGCGCCAGGTGAGTGGCTCTCTGTTTTCCTTCATTTGTTACCTGCAAGTCCATGTGCCCCCAATTTCTCACCCAGTCCTCATTAATATTTCACAGGATCAACGGCACTCGCTTCCTCCTCACCCGTATCCATACCCAGCTCCGGCCTACACCGCGCACCCACCTGGCCACCGGCTGGTCCCAGCTGCACCCCTAGGCCCAGGCCCCCGCCCCCCAGGAGCAGAGAGCCATGGCTGCCCGCCTGCCACCCGTCCCCCCGGAAGTGACCTTAGAGAGAGCAGAGTTCAGAGGTCGCGGATGGACTCCAGCGTTTCACCAGCAGCAACCACCGCCTGCGTGCCTTACGCCCCTTCCCGGCCCCCTGGCCTCCCCGGCACCACCACCAGCAGCAGTAGCAGCAGCAGCAACACTGGTCTCCGGGGCATGGAGCCAAACCCAGGCATTGTGAGTGATGATCCGGGGTGGAATGGGGGAATCAGTGAGCAGCCAATCTGGTCGACCCTCTGACCACCCCCATCCTACAATTGCAGCCCGGCGCTGACCATTACCAAACTCCCATGCTGGAGGTCTCCTCTCATCAAGGCCGCCTGGGGCCCTCGGCACACAGCAGTCGGAAACCGTTCCTGGCAGCTCCTGCTGCCACTTCCCACCTGTCCCTGCCACCTGGCCCCCCCTCACCTCCTCCACCCCCTTGTCCCCGCCTCTTACGCCCCCCACACCCCCCTGCCTGGCTGAAGGGCCCGGTCTGCCGGGCAACACGAGAGGATGGAGAGATCTTAGAGGAGCTCTTCTATGGGGCTGAGGGACGCCCCCGCCCTCCCCCACCACACCTTCCCCACCGTGAGGGCTTCTTGGGGCCTTCGGCCCCCCGCTTTTCTGTGGGCACTCAGGATTCTCACACCGCTCCCACTCCCCCAACCACCAGCAGCAGCAGCAACAATGGCAGCCACAGCAGTAGCCCGACTGGGGCTGTGTCCTTCCCCGCACCTCCCTATCTGGCCAGAAGTATAGACCCCCTTCCCCGGCCCTCCAGCCCAACACTGAGCCCCCAGGACCCACCTCTTGCACCCCTGACTCTTGCCCTGCCTCCAGCCCCTCCTTCCTCCTGTCACCAAAATACCTCAGGAAGCTTCAGGCGCCCGGAGAGCCCTCGGCCTAGGGTCTCCTTCCCAAAGACCCCCGAGGTGGGGCCAGGGCCATCCCCAGGCCCCCTGAATAAAGCCCCCCAGCCTGTGCCGCCCAGGGGTGGGGAGCTGCCTGCCCGAGGCCCACGACTCTTTGATTTCCCCCCTACCCCGCTGGAGGACCAGTTTGAGGAGCCAGCTGAATTCAAGATCTTACCTGATGGGCTGGCCAACATCATGAAGATGCTGGATGAATCCATTCGTAAGGAGGAGGAACAGCAACAACAGGAGGCAGGCGTGGTACCCCCACCCCCCCTCAAGGAGCCCTTTACGTCTCTGCAGCCTCCATTCCCCACTGACACCGCTCCCAGCACCACTGCTGCCACCACCACCTCTACCACCACCACCACCACCACCACCACCACCACCCAGGAAGAGGAGAAGAAGCCACCACCAGCCCTGCCGCCACCACCGCCTCTAGCCAAGTTCCCTCCACCTCTCCAGCCACAGCCACCACCTCCCCCGTTACCCCCACCAGCCAACCCCACCAGCCTGCTCAAGTCGTTGGCATCTGTGCTGGAGGGACAAAAGTACTGTTACCGGGGGACTGGAGCAGCTGCTTCCACCCGGCCTGGGCCCTTGCCCACCACTCAGTATTCCCCTGGTCCCCCATCAGGTGCTACCGTCCTGCCGCCCACCTCAGCGGCTCCTAGCGCCCAGGGCTCCCCACAGCCCTCCGCTTCCTCTTCATCTCAGTTCTCTACCTCAGGCGGGCCCTGGGCCCGGGAACGCAGGGCAGGCGAAGAACCAGCCCCCGATCCTATGCCCCCCACCCCGCCGCCCCCACCCCTGCCTCTGCCCCCTGCTCGATCTGAGTCTGAGGTGCTAGAAGAGATCAGTCGGGCTTGTGAGACCCTTGTAGAGCGGGTGGGCCGGAGTGCCACAGACACGGTGGACACTGTAGACACAGTGGACACTGCAGACTCGGTGGACAGTGGGACGGAACGATTGCTGCCTCCTGCCCAGGTTAAGGAGGAAACTGGTGGGGTAGTGGCAGCGGCAGGACCAGGCAGCAGTAAGCGGCGACAGAAGGAGCACCAGAAGGAGCATCAGAAGGAGCACCGGCGGCACAGGCGGACCTGTAAAGACAGTGTTGGTCGTAGGCCTCGTGAGGGCAGGGCCAAGGCTAAGGCCAAGGCCCCCAAAGAAAAAAGCCGCCGGGTGCTGGGAAACCTGGACTTGCAGAGCGAGGAAATCCAGGGTCGTGAGAAGGCCCGTCCTGATCTTGGAGGGGCCTCCAAGGCAAAGCCACCAACAGCTCCAGCCCCTCCACCCACTCCTGCACCTTCTGCCCAACCCACACCCCCATTAGCCCCTGTCCCTGGGAAGAAGGCTCGGGAAGAAGCTCCAGGGCCACCGGGAGTCAGTCGGGCTGATATGCTGAAGCTTCGCTCACTTAGTGAAGGGCCCCCCAAGGAGCTAAAGATAAGGCTCATCAAGGTAGAGAGTGGTGACAAGGAGACCTTTATCGCCTCTGAGGTGGAAGAGCGAAGACTGCGAATGGCCGACCTCACCATCAGCCACTGTGCTGCTGACGTTGTCCGTGCCAGCAAGTGAGTGGGGCTGTCACCCATGAGGCTCCAGCCTGGCCCCAGGGGAGGCTCCCTTTCCCTATCACCCTGGTGGTGTCTCTTCTCATTGCATTTTCCTCCCACAGGAACGCCAAGGTGAAAGGGAAGTTTCGAGAGTCATACCTTTCCCCTGCTCAGTCTGTGAAACCGAAGATCAATACTGAGGAGAAGCTGCCCCGAGAAAAGCTCAACCCACCCACACCTAGCATCTATGTATGTGTGCCGTCTGTGCTCAGAACTGCATTTGTGGAAGGGTTTTCAGGCGGTGTGGGGGGCTTTGGAGTGCTCTGGACATGGGACAGGGGTCTGACCATCACCCCTGTCTCCTGGTTGTCCCTCAGCTGGAAAGTAAACGGGATGCTTTCTCGCCGGTGCTGCTGCAGTTCTGTACAGACCCTCGAAATCCAATCACCGTGATCCGGGGCCTGGCAGGCTCCCTGCGGCTTAGTGAGTTTGGGGGCCAGAAAGGTGTGGGGAGGGCTATAAGTATCTGAGACTTTGGGGCCCTCTGAGAGCCCCCACTCTTGAAGACCCAGGACAGTGATTGTAGAGAGCTCTCCTCAGTCACCCACACACATATTTGAAGAGTACTCGACTGATGGGTCAGCTGGCCTCAGGCCTCTTCATCCTGGGCATGAACATCAGTCTGTCCCCAGCAGTGGATGAGTGGGAGGGGGTATATGTCGTGACTTAGTTAGAATTGCTTTTGGTGTTCTTGGTGATTAAACATGAGAGGGATACTGACCATAGATAGCCCCCACATAAAGTTTGGGGCACTTTGCTTTTCAAACCTTTATTGTGCTAAATTTCAGAGAGAGGAAACCATACAGAAATGTTAAGAAGCAGAATTGTATCCATCTACCATCCTTTCCCCCTTCTGGGTTATTTGATGCACATTCTAGGCTTTCACTTAAGTAACTATCATTGGGTCCAGCGATAATTCTAAAGAAATTGCTGTTCATTGAACAGCAGGTGACAGTGCTAGCACATGTGGGCACATGTGGGCACATGCACACCTGCGGACCCTGGCGGAAGGGTCAAGGCTCTGAGCAGCAGTGGGAGAAGGCAAGTTGGTGATGGTGTAGATAGGGACTGTCAGTGCTCACAGCCTGTACTTCTGGACTGAGCTCTGCTTTGCCTGTATCCTCCCTGTCAGAGGCTTGGGGAGTAAGAAGGGACAGGATGAGTTGGGTCCTCAATCCCTGCTGTCTGCCTCTGCCCAACATCTTGCTGGCTCTCCGTTGCAGACTTGGGCCTCTTCTCCACCAAGACACTGGTGGAGGCAAGTGGCGAACACACTGTGGAGGTACGCACCCAGGTGCAACAGCCCTCAGATGAGAACTGGGATCTCACTGGCACCCGACAGATCTGGCCCTGTGAAAGCTCCCGTTCCCATACCACCATCGCCAAGTATGCACAGTACCAGGCTTCATCCTTCCAGGAGTCCCTGCAGGTGAGAGGCAAGCATGGGCAGAGGCAGGGAGGTGGCGGATAGGAGGGTTCCAGGAACATCACTGACCCAGGTCTGCCTACCCCTGTGGCCAAGCAGGAGGAGAAAGAGAGTGAGGATGAGGAGTTGGAGGAGCCTGACAGCACCACAGGAACCCCTCCTAGGTATGCTACAGTTTTTTCCTTTCCCTGCTTCATCTTTCCTTCCTGGTGTTCCTCTACCAACCTGTGTTCTTAACCCTAGCAGCAGTGCACCAGACCCGAAGAACCATCACATCATTAAATTTGGCACTAACATCGATCTGTCTGATGCGAAGCGGTCAGTGGAGCTGAGGCCAGCAGAGCTGGGGTGGGAGTGCTAAGAGGTGGGCGGAGTGGGGGATAGCTTCTCACTTTTGGTGCACCCTATAATCACAGGTGGAAGCCCCAGCTGCAGGAGCTGCTGAAGCTCCCTGCCTTCATGCGGGTAACATCCACAGGCAACATGCTGAGCCATGTAGGCCACACCATCCTGGGCATGAACACAGTGCAGCTGTATATGAAGGTCCCTGGCAGCCGAACACCAGGTGCGTTCATGGGCTGGTGGCTGGGCTGCTGTGGTATTCTTCCCTTAGCCAATGAGGACAAGAGGGGGCTTGTCCCTGAGCACAGGCTCAGGTCTGGCTTGTCATGCCTCTCTGTCTCCCCCTTCAGGCCATCAAGAGAACAACAATTTCTGCTCTGTGAACATCAACATTGGCCCAGGTGACTGTGAGTGGTTTGCAGTTCATGAACACTACTGGGAGACCATCAGCGCCTTCTGTGACAGGTGTGCACCACCCTCCCCTCACCTTCTATATATTCCCCACATCAGGTTTTGGGTCCCCACGTTTCCATTTGACCCTGTGGCCACCCCACAGGCACGGCGTGGACTACCTGACAGGTTCCTGGTGGCCAATACTGGATGACCTCTATGCTTCCAATATCCCTGTGTATCGCTTCGTGCAGCGCCCTGGAGACCTTGTGTGGATTAACGCCGGGACTGTGCACTGGGTGCAGGCCACGGGCTGGTGCAACAACATTGCCTGGAACGTGGGGCCCCTCACCGGTGAGAGGGTGGGACTAGGTAGTAGGCCCTGCATAGCCACTCAACAGTGAGGGGGTAGGGCTTCTGGGAAATCAGTCCATTGGGGAGGTGAACTTGTGGGGGGCAGCCAGCTGTGAGAGAAAGGGTGGTGCACAAATAGCTTGGGGCTACTTAAGAAATGATGATCCTTCTGGCCTGCAGCCTATCAGTACCAGCTGGCCCTGGAACGATATGAGTGGAACGAGGTGAAAAACGTCAAATCCATTGTGCCCATGATTCATGTGTCCTGGAATGTGGCTCGAACCGTGAAGATCAGCGACCCAGATTTGTTCAAGATGATCAAGTGAGGACCCTTTTTGGGAGGGAGCCCAGTTCCACCAGACCTAGGTCTTCCTGGTTCTTTTTCTTCCTGTCTGATGCTGCTCCATTCTCCACCTATCTCTTCACCCTTTTACCATGTTCCCTGAGGTGGTGTGATGGGTGACTTACAAGGACCCTGCTTTGGGAAGCTTTATTTTTTGGTGAGATTTCAACTGTGACAGATGCTTATCAGGGGATGTGACCTGGGCCTGAAGGGGGAGTCTCAGTTAAGTAAGGGCTGTGCTCTACCCTCCCCTCCCCCTCTTGCTGGCAGCCCTGTCTTACCAACACCTCACCCTGCACTCAGGTTCTGCCTCTTACAATCCATGAAGCATTGCCAGGTACAGCGGGAGAGCCTGGTTCGTGCTGGGAAGAAAATTGCCTACCAGGGTCGGGTCAAAGATGAGCCTGCCTACTACTGCAATGAGTGCGACGTGAGTGGACCCACTCTTGCTCTTCCCTTCCTGAAGGGAGGACCACGGTGGCCCTCCCAAGCTCCATGACTGTGCCCTTCTTGCTGTCTCAGGTGGAAGTGTTCAACATCTTGTTCGTGACGAGTGAGAATGGCAGTCGCAACACTTACCTGGTGCACTGCGAGGCCTGCGCCCGGCGCCGAAGCGCGGGCCTCCAGGGCGTGGTGGTGCTGGAGCAGTACCGCACCGAGGAGCTGGCGCAGGCCTATGACGCCTTCACGCTGGTGAGAGCTGTTGGGAGGATAAGGGCACCCCCGGACCGGGGTGGGGGTGGGGCAGGAGCCCGAGAGCCAAGCTGTGGGGCGGTTCCACCGGTGCCTGCCTCGGAGTCCGCTCTGCCCATTTTATTTTCTCTCCTTCAGGCCCCCGCCAGCGCGTCTCGATGAGGCCGGATGCCCCGCCCGCCTGCCCGCCTGCAGGGCGCCGCGGGGCCACCAGCACACAGCCTGGGCTGGACCTAGGTCCCGCCTTTGGCCGGGAAGGGGTTCGGGCCCAGCCCTACCACCCCATTGGCAGCTCCCCTCACTTAATTTATTAAGAAAAAAAAATTTTTTTTTAAACAAATACGAGGAAAAAAGGAAAAAAAATGGGAGACGGGGGAGGGGGCTGGCAGCCCCTCGCCCACCAGCGCCTCCCCTCACCGACTTTGGCCTTTCTAGCAACAGACACAAGGACCAGGCTCCGGCGGCGGCGGGGGTCACATACGGGTTCCCTCACGCCTGCCAGCCGCCAGGCCGCCCGGCGCAGACGCAGGCGGCTCGTGTTGTACATAGACGTTACGGCAGCCGAGGTTTTTAATGAGATTCTTTCTATGGGCTTTACCCCTCCCCCAGAACCTCCTTTTTTTACTTCCAGATGCTAGCTGTGACCCCTGTACATGTCTCTGTTATCCACTTGGTTATGATTTGTATTTTCTGGGTTTTTTGTTTTTTTTTTTTTTTTTTGGTTTTTAATTTATAACAGTCCCACTCACCTCTATTTATTCATTTTTGGGAAAACCCGACCTCCCGCACCCCCAAGTCATTCTGCCCGCCCCCTCCAGGGACTGCCCACCCCAGGGCTCTCCCTGCGCCCCAGTGTGTACGGCCCGGCCCGTCCGTCTCAGCCCGTCAGCCCGCCTGCGGCTACAGCCGGGTTCTCATGGTGCTCAAACCCGCTCCCCTCCCCGACGTCCTGCACTTTCTCGGACCAGTCCCCCACTCCCGACCCGACCCCAACCCCACCTGAGGGTGAGCGACTCCTGTACTGTAGGGGAAGAAGTGGGAACTGAAATGGTATTTTGTAAAAAAATAAATAAATAAAATTTTAAAAATTTAAAAGTTTTAAAGAAAGAACTATGAGGAAAAAAAGAACCCCGTCCTTCCCAGTCCCGGCCAATTTAAAAAACACGGACCTTCCCCTCGTCCCTCTTTTCTTTTTAAGCGTGAAACAGTCCAGGGCCAGGCTTCACTGGGGCAGGGACACCCCGGGATGAGTTTCTCTGGGGCTTTATTTTGGTTTTGTCGGTTTTTTCTCCATGCTGGGGCTGCGGAAGGGTGGGGGGGTTTACAGTCCCGCCCCCTCGCACTGCACTGTCTCTCTGCCCCAGGGGCAGAGGGGTCTTCCCAATCCTACCCCTATTTTCGGTGATTTTTGTGTGAGAATATTAATATTAAAAATAAAATCAGAAAAAAAAAACACAACCATGTTTTGATAACGTGCTGGTGATAGCATGGAGAGTTCTGGGAGGAGGGCCCCAAGATTGATGGGGAGGGACTGCGCCGACCCTGGCGAGGGTGAGCCCCTCCCCTGAGGCGCCTGTGGAATGTCCAGAGCTCTGGTCCACTCGGTGTAGGGGGTGCCTAATCCTGGAGCTGCATTCCAGGATAAGGGGGGTGGGGAGAGGCCGGGCCGGGGGAGGGGCAGGAAAGAGTGCTATAAGGGCTGAGGCCCGAGCGGGCGGGAGCCTGGCGGGATATGGCGGATGTCCCCGTGGTGCAGCGACCGGTTCCCGGCTCCGGCCCGGAGCCCCGGGACCCCCTGGACTGCTGGGCCTGCGCTGTTCTAGTCACAGCCCAGAATCTGCTGGTGGCTGCTTTCAACCTTCTCTTGCTGGCGCTGGTGCTGGGGACCATCCTGCTACCCGCTGTCACCATGCTAGGCTTCGGCTTCCTCTGCCACTCCCAGGTGAGCGTGCGCCCCGGTGTATGAGTGTATGTGGGTGACGGTTGCGGTGGGGTCCACGGGCCCAGCATCTCCCCTCCTGGGCTCTTCGACCCGGGCTTGAAGCCTCTTCTCCTCCCACAGTTCCTGCGCTCCCAGGCACCCCCTTGCACCGCGCACCTACGGGACCCGGGCTTCACAGCCCTGCTGGTCACCGGATTCCTACTCCTCGTGCCGCTGCTCGTGCTTGCCCTGGCCAGCTATCGCCGCCTCTGCCTGCGCCTTCGCCTGGCCGACTGCCTCGTGCCCTACAGCCGGGCCCTCTATCGGCGCCGGCGCGCCCCGCAGCAGCGGCAAAACCGGGCCTCACCAGCATCCCAGGCCGTTCCCACATCAGGAAAGGTCTGGGTCTGAGGACCCTCGCGTCAAGAACAGTACTGACGATTGCCCTCCCTCCCAGCCGCCCAAGAACTTGAAACCCTGGAGTCTCCCGACCTTTCCTGCTCCTACCCCAGCCTAAGCTGGGTCCTTCCATCGCCTTGGGAAGCAGGAGCATCTGTGGACCCAAAGCTGGTGAAAATTTGCCACACCCCAGAAAACCCACTTTGCTTACCACCGGTATCTGAATCCTGAACATCTGGGCTGGACCCTGCCTGCACATACACCCCCCACCCCCACCTTGTGAATAGGACAACTGAACCTCGTGTCCTTTTCCAGTGCAGCTAGTATTTACAGGCAGAGGGGCGAGAAGTGAAGGGGAAGGAGTGATCTGCACATATCAATAAAGAACTAATGAACTGAACTGCGCTCCTGGGATCCTGTGAAAGGGGCCCTGCCCCATGGCCAGAAGTAGAAGTGGGGGGGGGGCACTGGGACACGGTGCTGAATTGTGCAGAAACGAGCATCTTTCAACTTCCTTGTCTTCCCTTATCGCATTTGTGTGTTCTTCCTGACTAGACCCCAGAGTTCTGTCCCTGACCCCAAAGTGACCTCCCTATCAACAGAGTGGAGGGGAGCCGGCCTCTGCTGCCTGCCCAGCTCCCCTTGGGGACCCGAGCCCGTTCTCTGACCCCAGCTTAGAGGAACTCAGTGTTGCCAGGCCGGGGAGGGAAACAATGGGTCTTCCGGAGCAGGATGACACCCCCTCCCGCCACAATTCTGGAGCAGCAGCGTAGGAGGGAAGGTAGAGGGTCCCACCCGGTTGAAGCTCAGCTTGGCTCCATCCCTACCCTCGAACTATCCCCACCCTCGAACCTGAAGATACCTCTGGCACCCCTGGACGTCCAGATTGGGGGAGGTGGGCTGGGAATGCTCACGACCTCAAATAAAATCTTCTCTAGAAGGCTGTGCAGTCCCTCCCCAGCATCCCAGCTAGGTAGACGCAGACACTGGCAACTTCAATTATAGGTTTAATGAAGTATGAAGGCATGTGCGATCTTGGTCAGAGATAGGGAGGCCCCGCCAGGCTCTCTTTTTGCACTTCAATAGAAACGATGTGATGTCCGGGTACCATAGCCAAGCCCAGCACGCGGGGCTCTCCCGCAGAGAAGGAATCTGGAAAGAGGGGTCAGAGCATCAGGGAAGTTGGTCAATGTCGGTCCCGCCCCTTTTGAGCCACTTCTAGTCCCAGAAAATAAGGGGGGAAAGGGGGTAGGAAGGCACTGTAGGGGAAATGCCTTGCGGGAGACGCTTGACCCACACGGGTGTGCATTCACTGGGCACTGACCCGATGGTTTAAGGAACTCCTGCGCTGAGCCCAGGATGACATTGCAGTCGCGGTCGGTGCAGAGGAAGCAGCCCACCAGTGTCCGTCCATCAGTCATGCGAATGCGCATAGTCTTGTTGAGCAGCGCCTCCAGCTGCTGCCGGGCGCGCGCGGCAGGCGAATCCTCGTGCTCCCCATCTGATTCCTGCGCCGGGCGGTACGCGCGCTCAGATCGCACCACCCACACAGCCGCTCGCCTGCTGAACCACCGCTCCCGGCAGCCCACGCGGCGCACACACGCGCCCAAAGGCTGCCGGGAGCTGCAGTTCCCCCTCCGCGCCCTGCCCCCACCCATTTTGCTCCCTGACTGCCCTTCAATCCCAAAACCCAAGCCCGCGCTAACCCCAGCGCTGGAGCTGCTTTGACGCCGGCTGCAACAGCCATTCTCCTCTCGTAGCAGCACGGTTGGTCCAGCTCCGGCCATTTGCTTCGGGGACTCTCCCAGGCCCTTCAACTTCTTAAGAACCTTTCGGCCACGGTGCTATGAGATCTCGCGAGCGCTGCCGACCTCTTTTCTTTTTGCGAGATCACCTTTCCTCTTCCTCCTTCTTCTAGTCTCCTCGGCAACTGCAGAGATCTCGCGAACTTCTTTCCCAGAGTTCGGTTCACTGAGACCTATTACGCAGGATTCTTAAGATATCGCGAGAAATCTTACTCTGGTTTATTCTCTAAGAACTCTGAATGTAGCGAGGCTACCTTTTTCATAGTCGCGCCGCTCCCTTTTCTGCCTCCCGAGATGCTCTATCCTAACTATCTTCTGTGGCCCTTAATTAAAACTGCAAGCTTATTTCTGGAACTTCGGAGGAACTATTTCGTGAATGGAGGAAGCCGACTACATTTCCCGTAAGCACTTGCAACCGCAAAAGTCCCACAGTTTGCTATCAGTGGACGGTGGCCGGGAAAGGACAATGGTTTCCATGTCAGCAAATAAACGCGCTTGCCTCCGCTCCTGGAGGTGAGGGAGGATGTAGTACAGAGTACCTGCTGAGGAGCGAGGAAGCAACCAAGAGCTGATGGCCGATAGAGTAAGAGCCATGCCTGTCCGGGGCCTAGTGGAGGGGCCAAACTTTGAACATTTCAGGCGTCGCTTTTTCACGCCTGCCGAGGTCGCCCAACACAACCAGCCAGAGGACCTCTGGGTGTCTTACCTGGGATACGTGTATAACTTAACGCCTTTGGCAGAGAAGTACAAGGGTAAGGGACACACGTTGCGCCAGTGTTGGGGTGTGTGTTTAGGGGGAATCTAGTTCTTGGGTAGCTAGCACTGACAGCGACTCCTCCTTCCCAGGAGACCTACTGCTGAAACCCATCGTGGAAGTTGCTGGACAGGACATCAGCCACTGGTTTGATCCAAAGACCAGGGACGTGAGTTCTGCTAGACCTGAGGTTGGGGTGGGTACTGGGGTGCTGGGCTGGGGAGGAAAAGCAGGGGCTAGGGAGGGACCGAGATCCTGATGCTCCCACTTCCCTCTTCTAAACCCCGCTTTAAAGATCCGTAAGTACATAGATCCGCTGACTGGTTCGCTGAGATACCGCACTCCGCGGGGCCGTTTTCTGCACATCCCGCCTGAGCTGCCGCGTTCAGACTGGGCCAATGATTTCGGGAAACCCTGGTGGCAGGGATCGGACTACGAAGTGGGACAGCTCTCTGCAAAGACCCGGAACATACGCATCATTAACACACTCACATCGCAGGAGCACACACTAGAGGTGAGAACAGGGGCGGGGCGGGGTGGGGGAGGGGGAGCCAGAACAGTGAGATTCGGAATCCCAGCGAATCCCAAATAGATGTTCGGGCCACTATTTCTCCTTATCTAGAGGCAATGGAGGAAAGCAGATCACCTAGGTCCTTAGGGTTGGAAATTCCAGGAGTGGCTGAGTCACAGAATACAAGATACTTAAGTGTTCATGAGCCTTGGGCATCTTAGTGATGGTGGTGCTTAGAAGCTCTCGCAAGCTGTTTTGGCCAGAAGTTGCATTTGGATTCTCTCACTAAATCTGCTCTATTGTGGGGATGAAGTGAGTGGGCAGTGGCTTTAACCCTTTAGGTCCTTCTGTTAGAAGTGGCTGCCACAAAGACAGGTAGGACTTTGGAGACATTCATTGTATGCTTGAGGTCCTACTTCATTTCTAGGACCATGAGAGTCTGAAGTTGCTATCTGCCAAAGGAGGCACTCTGATCTCAGCTCTATCTTTGGGGTTCCTGGCTTTTGCTTGGGGTGTGTGTGTGTGTTCCATCTAGAATTCTGGGGGTGGGATGCTTCCATGTTCTCCAGGTGGGGGCACTGGAATCAATGTGGGAAATCCTACACCGCTATCTCCCCTGTAATGCACATGCTGCCAGCTACACATGGAAATATGAAGGGAAGAACCTGAACATGGATTATACCCTGGAAGAGAATGGGATTCGGGATGAGGAGGAAGACTTTGACTACCTCACTATGGACGGTACACTCTACACACCTGCAATACTGCTTTACTTCAATGATGACCTTACAGAGCTATAGGGAAGGAGATGTATGCTCATGTAGATTCAAGACCTATTTTGAGTTTGGCTGTTTCTGTACCCTGTAGGAAAAAGATGGGAATGGGTGAGGGGTGCTTACACCTAGACCTTCATTCCACTGGGAACTGGCTTATGGTTCCCATGCTTTGCTGAAATTTAAGTCCCTATCCCCCAGGTCCATTTTAATTGCTCTGAGAAATTTAGGGAGAATGCTAGAAGTGAATGAATGAATGTTTAGGAATGGTACAAAAAGATGAAGTGTCTTAGATTAGGGAGATATAGAAATACTGCTCATGGAGAACTTTTTGATAGTGAGAGAAAGAAATACAATACAGTGATGAGAGATGGAAGAACCTTTTTAGTAAAGAGGGAAATGGAATTGCTGCAGGAAGATGGGATTTGCAAAGACAGGAATAGGAAATGTCTCACAGACCATATAAAATTGTCTTAATTGCCTTTGAATAATATCTGGCAACTAAAATTCAAGGGGAATAAAAGAAGTGGGTGGTTACCAGGGAATTCAGACTAGATATTATGCTATATACTTTTTACACCCTGTTTACTGTAACTGCCCTATAAGATGGATACCATCACCACTATTTTACAGATAAGTCTTTTGAAATTTAGCACGATTTAATAGCATAAAGGCATACTAGCTAGTAATTAAGATAAAAACCCAAGTCTACTCAGTTCTAAAGTCCATGTTCTTTTCAATGTAGAGAGACTATCTCAGTGTCTGATTTCATGCTAGTATTTGTAACCATTGCTTCTCAGAACAAATGTTTGGGATGTGGGTTTGCCCTGGCCTTGCTGCACAGTGGGAACTATAGGCCTTTTGTGTAGTCAAATTCTTTCTGCAGTTATTATCTTTGGAAGGGAGTTAGCAGAGCTCTGCAGTGGCAGAGAGGCGGCAAGGAAGGCTAAGTGTTAGCTGAGCTATAGATAACTGTTGAACTCTACTTTCTGACTGATCTCATAACAAAATTTTTCCTCTGACTTTTGAGACAAAGAAATGGGTGAGTATTTACTGACTCCAGGAAAAACTAGGATGAGAACAGGGCCTTAGGACTGGGACACTTGGGTGAGAGGGCAAAAAGAAAGCAAACTGCACAGTATATTCAGGATGGGCCATGTCTCTTAGGGAAGGTGAGGCTAACAGGGTAGACTTCACAGACGGTGACTTTGTAAGAGGGGGCTTGACAGGGGTAATGAAATGTGCCAAGTGTCAGAAAACTGATGATTATAGAACAACAAATTTAGGGGGAGGAGTAGTGGCTAGGTGATTCCCTTTAACTTAAACATGGGGAGGTAATGAAAACTGACAGATAAATTTCCTGATAGTAGCAGGTAAAAACTCATCAGGCAGAGGTTAGGGTATCGTCCTGAAAGGTGGTCCCTAGGTGCACTGGGTGGTCTACATAGAAGTTTTCTGAGGAGTTGACTGTGAAACACATGGACAAAAATGGAGATATATTGGCTTTAGCAATATCTCATCTGAGTTTCCAGTTTCATGTAATGCAAAAGTCCATGAATTACCTGCATCATTTTGATGTTTAATCAACTCAACTCTGAAGTTGTTTCATATGCCTCGTTTGTTCAGTTGAGCCCTTAATGATTTGAAAACCATAGCTATGCTTTTACCATAGTACCAGCCTCATAGCCTGTGCCTGTGGGATCTGCTCAAACCTACCCCTTTTCCAGAATCTCCCACATCAGCACCTCTTGCCAGAAACACACTCATCTCCTTACTCAACCAGCCACTCTCTAAGTAGCTTCTTTCTTATAAATATCTTTGGAGTCTGTCTTCTTTCCTCTACTGCTATGGAAACTTCCTAACCATTTCCTCTTCTGTCCTAACACAGCAGAGTGAGTTCTGAAAAAAACAAATCTTACTGACTTTCCTCCTTCAGATTCTTCAGTGGTTTCCAGTGCTAAATTCAGTCCCTTCATACATCAGCCTCTGACTACCTTGCATATCTCATCTTGCTTCACTCCTGTTACCTGTGTTCCAGCCCCCTAAACTGGTTTTCAGTTTGTTAAATGTCGTCTTGCCCCAGAGTGACAAAGACTATTCTCTCTTGCAACACTGTTCCATCCATTTTCCACCTAGCTCATCTTCCTCTGGGAGATCTTTTCTGGCTTATTAGTGGCCAGAACTTTGAGTTTTATATCATCATTTACAAACTTTTATGTCAACACTGTAAATATTTCAGAGTAGTTATAATTTTTAAATGATGGATGTACATAGTTGGTTGGCTTCTAGATTGTAAGCTCCTGAGGGCAGATGGTATCCAATTTGCTCATTGCTGTATTCCCAGTTTGGGGGGCAGGCACACAGTTGCTGCTCAATAAATTTTCATTGAATGAGGTCAATATTAAGTGAATTCATCTATCAATAAAAGCTAGTAGATGGGGTGTTGTGTCCTGGGAGGCAAAGTGGGACCAATAAATAAGACACCTGAATCCCGTGCTGCAATCTCTACCCATACATTTCTCTTTATTTGCTCTCCAGAGATCCCAGTTCAAAAACTTCCTCTAAATAGAGGTTTTGGGGTTAAACTCCCAGTCGTTTCCTCTTATGGCCACCAGAGGGCTGTAATCGCCTACAGAGTCAGGTCTGGAAAAGGGAAAACAAGTTCTAAAGAGGTTAGAATTAAAGATGAGCCTCTGAAAATTACAGGTGGGAGGAAGGATAAGAAAAAAACACATGACTACTATTCTATTAGCATTTAGGTCTATTTCAGTTTGTTTTTTCTTCCTTCTGGAGCACATGCCAGAAAAGGAGGGTAATTTGAGAAGTTGAAGCATGGGCTAGGACAAATTTGAGTAGGTCTGATGACCTGTATGTGTGTGTATGGGGCAAGGCACAATGCTGTGGAAGGAGCAATTATCATACATTTTGAAGATAATAAGAGAAAGATTGGCCCTTGAACACGGGTTTGAATTGTATAGGTCCACTTATGTGGATTTTTTTTTATAAACAGGGAATGTAAACCTACAGTAACAATACAGTATTGTAAATGTTTTGTTATTTTCTTAACATTTGCCTTTCTCTAGCTTACTTTCTTATAAGGATACATACACAAATTTTGTGAAATCAATTGTTTACGTTATTGGTAAGGCATCCAGTCAATAGCAGGCTGTACTTGACCTTTGAACAAAGCAGGAGTTGGGGAACCAACCCCCTTGCACTGTCAAAAATCTGAGTGTCATTCGACTCCTCAGAAACTTAACTACAGTGGTCCCTGGATTTCTTGGGGATTGCTTAGGGAACCAGTTATCAAGATCCACAGATTCTCAGGACCCTTGTAATCAGTCTTTCATATGCAGGTTGATTTCTAGTTGGTTGAAGATGTACATGTGGAACCCATAAGTGTAAAGAGTCAGTTATATTTATTGAAAAAAATTGTGTATAAGCGGGTATGTACAGTTCAAACTTAACTGTTCAAGGGTCAACTGTAATTTTGGGACAGTCAATACAAGGATTTTTTTTAAAAAGATTTATTTATGCATACAAGAACTGGGGTACAGGCCAGAGGTGCCGGGGGTGGGGGGTGAGTGGATTCACCAGAGACAGAGTAGGGAATAGAAAAGGCAGATTGACTGAAGTACACTGCTAAGGGGAGCAGCAGGTGGGTCACCTTTCTGGCCGGGGGTCAAACTCATGCTGCAGTGGCTGTGATAGCTTCATAGTGCTGTGCTTTAACCCCATGTGCCACCAGGGGTTACTGTGTGGGGGTTTGGTTCCCCCTAATCCCTATGTTGTTCAAAGATCAACTGTATATTAATTTATTTAAAAATAAATTTATTATTAATGTTTTTTCTTTTTTGGTATAAAGCTTTTTATTATGTGCTACCTTGTTCTTTAACTAATTAAGACTAGATATTTGCATGAGGAGTACAGAAATAATGCTGAGGGCCCTCCCTGGTGGCGCAATGGGTTAGGACGCAGCACTGCAAGCAAGCCACAGCCGCTTCAGCAAGTTTGATCCCCACCCTGGAGGTGACCCACATGGCACAGCAGACCCCTCCTGACCTGCCTGCTGTTCCCCTCTGCAGTGTACTTCGTCAGTCTGCCTGTTCTGCTCCCCACTCTGTCTCTGGTGAAGCCTCTCACACCCCTGCACCTCTGGCTTATACCCCAGTTCTGTATGAATATATAAATCTTAAAACAAACAAACAAACAATCAAAAACACTGAGGCCTAAAACCTAGGAGGCAAATAGTACTTAAGTGAAGTGTATGGCCCAAGTCCTCTTGCAATGATCTCTTTTGTTTTGGAGGGAGGTGGAGTGAAGGCTGGGGTAATGAAAGGAAAGCTGCGTGTGTGCTCAGTAAATCAGCAGTTTCAAAGGATTCAGCTGGCAAATAATTCCCACAAAGCTGAGTCCTGTATGCACATATCATTGGGGATACTATTAGAATTCCTTGTAGGAAGCTTATCTGCTGAATGGTTAAAAGCATACAGTCCAATGTAATACCAAGATTCCTGGCACTCCCCCAAAGGCTTTATCCTTTGGGGTTAAGTTTAATGGCAACATTTTACTACTGTCCTAAATTCTGATCAGGATGCCCCTTGGAGATGAGTCAGAGGATCGATTGTGTGCAGTTCGCACTGTAGCACTCAGTCAGGACATCAAGAAAAGGTAATACACTGAGCCCCATAGCTGAGTTTTGGTAAACCACAAAGATAGCTTAATATTAGAACAGCACTTTATGCTGGATCAGGAAAGGCACATGGGACATAGTAATAGAGAAAGTAGTAGCAGAGAAAATTGGAAACTGGAATGATCTTGGAAGTCAGAGATTCGGAATTCAAAATACAAATACACACGCAGCCCAAGTACTAGGTATACAAGGCACACAGTGAATGAGAAAGTGAACAATTAAATGGGGTCAGGAGTAAAGCAGGTGAGGTAAGGAACAAGATGGAAGTGAGTCTTAGTCTCCCTTGGGAGCAGCGCAGCACCTGCACTTTAGAGCTTGTTAGTGGGAAGGTAGGCATCCAGCTTCAATCATCTGATTCAATCACCTTTGCATCCCCCAACAGCAGCATATGCCTGGCATAGAGTGGCAATAAATACAGGTTTGTTTCAGGAAAGCATTGCACATGTAACCCCCACTATTTGAAATGTCTGGACTCAGGAACTAAATAGGTTCAGATGTTCATGTGCCTCTTACTGCTCGCTTGCTCTAGTGCTTTACCAAAACTCAGCGGTGGGGCTCAGTGTATTACCTTTTCTTGATGTCCTGCCTGGGTGCAAGACTACTATGGAAAGAGAATCCTGTGAAAGTGCTGTTCATCCATTCATTAACAAAAGTTATCAAACTCTTTGTGCCAGGCACTGTTTCAGATATTGGGGGCAGAGCAGTGATTGACACAGGCAAGGTTTCTGCGTGGGACTCATATTTGGTGTAATAAATTTTGTACTATATATGTAAATATGCACACCTTCATAAATACATATACATACATTAAAAGTACAATAGAGAGGCCCTCCCTGGTGGTGCAGCGGGTTAAAGCACAGCACTGAGAATCTAAAGCCGCTTCTGCATGAGTTTAATTCCCGCCTGCCCCAGAGGTGACCACATGGCGTGGCAGACCTCTCCTGACCCGCCCGCTGCTCCCCTCAGCAGTGTACTTCGTCGATCTGCCTGTTCTGTTCCCCACTCTGTCTCTGGTGAAGCCTCTCATCGCCCCTGAGCCTCTGGCCTGTACCCCAGTTCTGTATGCACAAATAAATCTTTAAAAAAAAGTACAATAGAGAGCCAGTCACTAGAGTAACACTCCATGGATCAGAGGCCCACCAGAGATGATCAAAAAAACTGCTATGTATTACCTGCAGGTCTGCATTTACTTGCATTCATCACTTAATTCTCACAATGAACTTAAATACTGTTTTTATTTACACTGAAAAATGGAAACTGAAAAACAGAGAAGTACTTTGCTAAAAGTCATATAATTAGTTAAGTAGCAGTTAAAGGTCACACAGTAGTAAGTAGTAGCGGTGGCTTACCTACTTACCCACTGACTTGTACCACCTCCATGCACGACAGACATAGGATGTTGTTTCAGTTACCTATCATTGCTTAATAAAACATTCCAAGACTTCAGTTTGTTTAAAAAAAAAAAACATTATTTTGCTAATGAATCTATAATTTGGCCCGGGTTTAGGATGGGACAACTCATTTCCACTCCAAAAAGTATCAAGTGGCTGGACTGTTGGAGCTGGAGGATTCATTTCCAAATGTCTCACTTAACATGTCTGGCAAGTTGATAGCAGCTGTAAATTCTCCATATGGGCCTCTGCACAAGAAGCTTGTTTCCTCATAGCATGGGCAGGTGGTCTTAGCATGGTGGTCAGATCCCAGAAGCAAGTATACTTAAGAGACCCAGAAGGAAACCTTTTGTGAACTAGCCTTAATCCAAGGATAGGGAAACTGGACTGCACTTCTCAGTGTGAAGTGTCAAAATCATACTGTAGTAACAGCATATTGGATATGAGCTATTATTATGGAAAATACAATCTACCTCAGATGTCCTGTAGGCAAAAGAAAGGGTATCTGACCCAGTCTTGAGTGGAAGTATGAAGGTGATCTTTGAAGGGTTGTTTGGGAGGACAGGGTAGGAGTGTGTATTGATACCTAAGTAGAAATCACGGCCTCACTATGCATTTATTCAGTAAATTGACAGTATTGTGTCTCTGCAATGCATCAGGCCTAGTGCTGCTTTTTTTTAAGACTTACTTTTATTTATTTATGCATACAAGAATTGGGATGTAGGCCAGAGGTATGGGGGTGAGAAGGTTCACCAGAGAGTGGGGAGCAGAACAGGAAGATCCACTGAAATACACTGCTAAGAGGAGCAGTGGGTAAGACAGGAGAGGTCTGCTGTGCCATCTGAGTCAGCTCACTGGCCAGGGATCACACTCATGCCACAGTGGCTGGTGATAGCCTGATAATGCTGAGACTTAAACCCTCCGCCACCAAGACACGAATATTGCTCCTATGAACTTAATGTTTTGTGAGAGTTTCAGAGAAGTTTGTGAGCATCTTGTCATCTTGCTTCTACTTGTACACAGAAGCCAAGGGAAGCTTTTAAAGTCTTCAAAATCTGGTTTTTTCTCTCAAGAGGAAGTAGGATACCTCACCCACAAGGTCCTACATAATTTGGCTCTTCTAGGTTCTTGTCTTCCATGGTAACCTTTCAGTTTCTGAATTCCCCCAAGTTCCGTACTGTCAGGGACTTCTCACAGGCTGTTCCTCTCCAAGCAACATTCTACCCACTGATCATTATTTGGGCAACTCCTACTTTTAAGTATCTGTTTAATTTTTACTTTCTCACAGATGTCTTCCCTGATCCATTCAATTATGTCAAATCTTTTATCACTCCTCAGGGTATCCTGAACATTATTAATACAACTAAAATGTTTAATATAATTCACTCTTTAAAAAGGTCCATCTTCCTTCCCTCATTAGACTATAAGCTCCAGAAGGGCAGGGAGCACATTTCGTATTTATCACTGAACACCCAGCAATTAGCCCAGTTAACCCAGAGCAGACAATCAATATTCATTAAATGAACTAATAGAATATGACAAACGTTATAAA